ACACTGTAGCTACTGCCTGGTGCCTCTCCTCCCCAACCACCAAATTTCCTCAAGGTATTATCTACAGTAGCCGATTCCACCTCCTCGCTTCCTAATGACTTTGCAACCCACAGCAAATCTGGCTTCTGTTCCCACCACATTCCACAAAAATCTTTCTCTCCAAGGGCACTGCTGACACCCTTTTTGTGACATCCACTGGATATTTCTCAGGGTCCCTGGGGCTTGGTCTGGCTGGGCTCTGTTCCTTGTACATGTCCCCTGGGTGACTCAGCCTTCCTGGTGATGCCTTCCTGAGGAGTCTCCATCCATTCTATGGATGTCTCACAGGCACTTGAACTCAACCCGTCAAAACAGGACTGAATCAACCCCTGTCCCAAGCCAGCTCCCCATGCTGCCACCCGATGGTTCTCTGGCCAGACACCCTGGGGCCTAGGCACAAGGTAGCATAGAGCAGCCTTGCCTTCCAGAACTGTCATGCCCAGGCTGTGCACATTAGAGGCCATACAAGAGGGAATATGGTGTGGACTAGAGCTGGTGGGCATAGCAGAGTTCCTGGAGAAACAGGAACGCTTCCCCTGTAGTCTCTGGTACCCCAATACCCAGGCTCTGGCCAGTTGAGAGGGCCAAAGAGACAAGAGCTAGGCTCAAGTCCTGGGCCTGTTCCCCACCCCCTCTCCTCAAACCACCTCCTCCATACCCACCCCTGCTGGCCTCCGAGTCCCCTCCACTCCACCCGCTCCCCTCATCCCCACGCTGCCACTGACACAATGCATAGCGCCCACGCTTAAAAATCTAAATGCTTTTGAAAATGTTTAACCTAGTTAGACAAATTAGCAAAAATTTGTGCAAAACAATTTAGGTATTTAAAATATTCAATGTTTTTAAAAAACTGGAAAACTGTTCTTAGCTTTCAGCTGCAAAAACCAACAAAATATAACATCCCAGCAATCTTACCATGAGGTGTAACATAACCCTTCGGGAAAGCTGTTAAACAGCTACTGAGGCATCCTGGGAAATAGCACTTCATTTATTCAAATGCACATATGTCAGGCTTTTGCACCATATGTCATTCCAAGCTATTTACAGTAATAATTAAATCTTAATCAACGTTTAACCTCTGTAAAATGTTTGAAGAATCCTAATCACCCTTCAGACTGCACTAATGAAGGAGAAATATATAAACATAAAAGGAAAATGATGCATAGATATCACGCTGGAAAGAACAGTAATTGCAAAATTGTATTTCTTTTAAATATAATCAGTAAATGATGTAAAGTAAGCCAAGGAGTATTTTAAGTTAAGACATCTTGGATGTCAGAGGTGTGAGCAGCTAATTTTGTTCTGCTACCCATAACAGATGTAGCATATTTTATTTTAGTGCCATTATTAGCAACTTCCCATGCCGGCTTTCACTGAAGCACTGAGGCCCGCATTAAAATCGGAGAGGCTGCTCACCACCATGGTGGAGGACCACAGGCCAGGGCCACGGCCCACTCGGCCCACTCCCTGGAGAGTGCTGGCCTGGTGACCCTCTCAGTGGAGGCTGTCACAGACCCAGAGCCTCCAAGCTCCCCCCGGGCTCCCCACTGTGCTGAGGGCAGCAGGTAGGAGGGAAGTATGAGGGATATGCAGGCAGTGAGAAGGTTCTGGTGGGGAGGTGACTGAGGCACTCAGGAGTAGGGGCCTGGGGACAGAGCTGGCATTCTCTCATTTCGGTTCAATCAGCCCTTAGGTCGGCAGATGTTTATGGCTGCCAACTGCATGCACCAAGGCTGGGCACACAGAGATCGATAAGATCAGTCTGTGCCCTTGAGAAGCTCAAAGTCTAGGGGAGGAGTCAGATATGAAAGCAGATGGATCCCAGAGAGACAAACAAAGTACCATGGAAACTGGGAAGGGGGCAGGGGTGCCCATGTACTGATGAAAGAAAAAGGAAGGAAGACTTCTCAGAGGAGGTGGGCCAGGAAGAAAAGGGAGGATTGACAAGAGGGCAGGAAAAGCTCGTTGGGTGAAGGGAAACGCATTAGCTGGCCAGCATGGCCTGTTCGGCGTGGGCCATGTTGGGCATGTGGGGTATGTGGCAGGAAATGGACAGTTCACATGAAGGAGTCAGCATTTTATCTGAGGGCAATTGGGAGCCATAGAAGGATTCTGAGCAGGGGTGGGCTCCATTATAGTAAAGTCTCTACGGTGGCGGTGAGTGTGGAGGATGGACTAGAGGGGCAAGGGGCAGCTGTGGGAATCAGAGGGAGGTGCCAGGTCCTGCGTTATGATGCCACCAGTGGGGCTGAGAGGAGGGTGCGGGCTGGGGATCCTTTCTGAAGATGAAATCCACAGGAGTTGATGACCAATCCCATGTGGGGGCGAGAGGGAGGTGTTGAAGACGACTGTGCGTTGGATGATTCCTAATTCTGGCTTGGGAGCTGGGGTGGTTGGTGACGCCATTCTCAGAGCCAGGGAATATGGGAGGGGAACGGGTCAGGGTGGGAGGGTGGTAGGCTCAGGTTTGACCATGTCGAGTCTCCCGGGTGGAGAGTCCTGAGAGGCAGACAGGTCCTGGGTTCTGGAGCTCTGGGCAGGGGTCTGGGCAGGAGAATGAGCCCGGGCTGTGTGAGCACAGCCGGAGTCCCTGGAGTGGAGGAGCTTGCCCAGGAGAGCAGATGGAAGGGGAGGGTGCCAGGCCTGGGGAACAGGCACATTTGAGGGGCGGGCGTAGGGAACAAGCCCATGATGGTGGCCTTGGGGGACCAGCCCAAGGAGTGGAAGCAGTGACAGAGGGTGCCGCAGAAACCGGGCAGCATGGATGCCAGCAAACGGTTTTCTGGGTGGTCCCAGTGAGGGCTGAGAGGCTTTAGTCTTGGCAACAGGATTTGGTGACCTCCAGAGTCCAGATTTCCTAACCTTCACTCGGTGCTGACCCCAGTCACGGCCTCTCATTTCTGTCCTGGCCAACTCGACTGGCCACTGGTAAAGACCCCTCCAGATCTCTGGCCACAGCTGGGGGTTGGGCCAATGGCCCACCATCTTGAGGTTTTGTGGGTATAAGGACCACTGCGGGTCCTTGCATCACCGCTGGGCTATCAAGAGAGGCTGGGGCAGGGACACTTGGGCTGCCCCGCTTCCCCCAAAGATCACCTGCCTGAGGAATGGGGGTGGGGGGGTGCGCTGTCTCCTTCATAGAAATCACATCCAGGATCGTGCTGGTAAATGAATGTGATCCAGCTCTTTGGTAAGGGCAACTCTAATCAGCTCTGGGGTCCCCGAAGTAGGGACAAAGGGTTGTGCTGTTTCCTTGGGGTCTCCCTGCTGTTTGGGGGGCCAGCAGCAGTATTTAACACATCAGCAGCAGAATGAATGGTGTAGTAGCTGTAGTGGTTCAAGGGCGTGTTGTGAAGGGAGGGAGGTGCCAAGGCCCAGTGGGAGGAGTGGGTGCAGCAAGGAGGTGCAGCACCACTTCGGTAGAAGCTCGCGTCCCAGGGCAATGGGCTGAGGGCAGGGGCTTGGTTCTCACCACAGATGAGCTCTGAAGGGCATCCTCTGGGGAGAAGGTAACAAGGAGAAAGAGGGCTGGGCAAGGAGCGTCCTCGGGGAGAAGGGGCGATCTAGTCCTAAGCCGCCAGTGGGGGGCAGGTAGGAACCTGTGGGTCCCTCTTTATCTGGTGGACCCTTCCCCAGGCACCTGATGGCCAGTGAGCAGTGGCCCTTGAGGGAAGGGGGTGTCTGGGATGGGGAGCCAGAGCCCTGGAGGGTGGGGGCTGCAGACACCAGCAAGGAAGCTGAAGTTAGCAATCAGCACTGGCTAATT